CCCCAAAACCCCAAAACCCCAAAACCCCTAGGCGCTCTCTAAATATTTACTGGTCTAAAAAATAATATAATAAATATGTTATCCAGGCTAAACCCATTTGTAAGAGGCAAAAGATTTACCAGCTTGCTGAAGACTGCTAGAGCAACTTTCTCGGTAAAGAACCAAGCTAAGCTTGCCCAGAAATTGGTGCATATCCCACACAGAAAGATGGGCCAGATGGAGACTGCTGAAGCTTCTCAGAAGCACGAGGCTAAAGATTTGATCAAGGATACTCCAAGAGGTCTTCAGAGGAGACCATATGACCTCAAGGTTGGGGATACTATTCATGGATTCACTGTAAAATCTGTTGAAGATATCACAGATTTCAACATCAAGGCATTTACATTAGAGCATGATGAGACAGGAGCCAAATATTTGCATCTTGATTCTGCAGATCTTGAAAACGTAAGTAGAGGCTTTTAAATAATTAATAGGTATTCATGGTGAGATTCAAGACTTTCCCAAATGATAGCACTGGAATTCCTCATATTTTGGAGCATCTTTCTCTGTGCGGTTCTAAAAATTTCCCAGTCAGAGATCCATTCTTCAAGATGATCAAGAGATCATTGAACACTTTTATGAATGCCTGGACTGGTAGCGACTTCACAGGATATCCTTTCTCCACTTGTAACGAGAAGGACTTCGACAACTTGCTTAGAGTATACTTGGATGCATGTTTCTTCCCAAATCTTAAAAGAACAGATTTCAACCAAGAAGGCTACAGATATGAATTCGAAGAGCCAGGAAATCCAGATTCTGCCCTTCAAATCAAAGGAGTTGTCTACAATGAGATGAAAGGTGTTATGAGTAACGCTGACAGGCTCTTCCTCCACAAACTTAGCGAGCATATGTTTGAAAAATCCTGTTATCACCATAACAGTGGAGGCGATCCTAATGATATCCCTCTTTTAAAGTACGAGACACTGAAAAAATTCCACGAGGATAATTATCATCCCTCTAACTCCTACTTCATGACTTATGGAGATCTTGATTTTACCAATAATCTTGAGTACCTCAATAGAAATGTATTCACCCATTTCGAGAGAAATGAGCAAAATCAGAAGATTGAGCTTGAGGATAGGAGAACCTCCCCAAAAGTGAAAACTGAATATTTCATGCCAGAACTTGTAAGTGATGCTGAGACTCAAGGAAAACTTGGAATCTCTTACCTCTGTAATGAAGTCAATAAAGATAACTACGAAACTTTCTGCTTGTAAGAACTGATAAGTAAAATATAGATATATCATGTCAAGCCTCTTCTTCGATGGACCAGACACTCCATTTTATCAGAGTATTATTGAAAGGTAAGACTTGATTGGATCATTCTATAGCGGACTTGCTCCAGCTTTCTGCCCAGGTGTTGGATATGATACTTCAACCAAGGAGGGAACCTTCACTTTTGGGGTCTCAAACATTACTCCATCCAATGAAAACATCAGGAAGATCCAAAAAGCAATCGATGAGACTATTTTACAAATTTATGAAGAGGGTATCCCAGAGGATAAATTTGAAGCCCAGTTGCATCAAGTTGAGCTTCAAGTGAAGAGAACAAGACAGCATTGGGGGCTAGGTACTATTTCAAATATGCTTAGCTACACTGTTCATGATAAAGATCCTCTCGCTGTATTCAAGCTGAACCAATATCTTGAAAGAATTAGGAAGGATTTCAAAGAGGGACTGTTCAGAGACTTGATGAGCAAGTATTTGATCAAGAACAAGCATAAGATCACTCTTCACTTCTTACCAGATCCAACAATAGCAGAAAAAGAACAACTCAAAGAGTCACTTCTCTTGGAAGGTATTGCAAAGAACCTGTCCAAAAGTGATAAAGAAAGGCTTATTAAAGAAGCAGCTGAGCTGAAAGAAGACCAAGAGGCACTTCAAGATATTGAGAAGCTTCCAGGACTCACTCTTGATGATATCTCTCCAACTATTGAGTATGTTGATTTCAATCAATCAAAAATTGGAGAAGCTCCTGTATTCTGGTTTGAACAGCCAACAAATGGAATAACTCATGTTAGAGCTAAATTTAACATTTCTCATCTTCCTGAAGAGCTTAAACCCCTCTTGCCAGCTTTCTGTAAATTCTTCACTGAGGTTGGAACCAAGAATTATGACTATAAGAAATTCCATACTTTGATGCAAGCAACTACAGGAGGATTAGGGCTCCAAGCAGATGGATTCAGTCTTTCAGCAGATCTGGATGATTCTCATGAGCATATTGTAGTCTCTCTTTGCTTCCTTGACAGAAATGCTGATAAAGCAATGACGTACTTCTCAGAAATATTAGCAACTCCAAATTTTGACAATAAATCCCAGCTTTCAGATCTGATTAAGAATTCAAGTGTTGAAGTAGCCAATAATATTGGGAACAACTCTTTAGACTACGGACTCTCCTTTGCTTCATCAGGGTTGAAGAAATATGCAAGAAACATGGAGAAGCTCAAAGCAGACTTATTCTTCTGCCAGCTTGGCGCTGAAGTATTGAGCACTTCAAGCCCAAAAGGCATCTATGAAGACCTCATCTACAACCTCACAGATCTTGCCTCTTACATCATAAGAGAAGAGAATGTTTCCTTCGCCGTTACAGGAGATAAGAAGAAATTTAGCTTTGTTGAGATGAAACTCCAGATGGTTATGAATGCTATTTTCAATGAAAACTCCAGAGCTAGAGAAAAGCTCAACCATACATTTGTTACAGATCAAGGAAAATTTGAGCCAATTTACTACCAAAACTTCTTCGAGACTCCTTTGAAGGTGAACAACTGTGTCGAGTCCTTCGTCGGGCCAGGATATTACTCTGATGTTTATGCCCATTCTTTAATTTTGGGCAGCCTTTTGACCCATGAATTCTTCCTTCCAAACATCAGAGAGAAAGGAGGTGCATATGGTGCTGGAGCATCAGCAAATGAAAGTGGAACCTTCAACTTTTACTCATTCTGGGATCCAAAATTGGAAGAAACATATGAGAACTTTGAGAGAGGACTCCAAGCTGTATGTGACGGAAATTTCTCTGAGAAACAGCTAGATCAAGCTAAGCTTGTAACCTTCCAGAAATTAGACAAGGTTCTTGAGCCATCTTTAAAGGGAATGGTAAAGTTTACTAGAGGATACACTGATGAGCAGTTGATTAATCACAGAAATCTTGCCCTAAATTGCACTAGGGGAGACATCCAGCATATTGCCGAAGCGGTGATTATGCCACAACTTGAGAAAGGAGAATCTTCAAGAGTTGTATTTGGAGCTCAAAGTGACTCAAATGAAGGCTTAAAGACCCAAGGTTGGAAGATCGAGAAGCCACTTGAATTCCTCTCAAGCAGCTATTTTGATAAATACAAGCAATCTTAAAGATTTAAAGTCTCTTTCAACATATATTTATCATCTGGGGTTTTGGGGTTTTGGGGTTTTGGGGTTTTGGGGTTTTGGGGTTTTGGGGTTTTGGGG